GACTATCAACCATCTTCTTCTACTCGACTTCTTATCGTGATAATAATAATAATAATAAAAAACACAAAACTCCTTCACAGAAACACACCACACTTTCACAACCCACTCGTACTCAACCGCAACGAAAAAACCTTAACAGAACTACAGGCTCACAAAATACTGCAATATCTCCACCAAAAACCCAAGCAACCTCACAAATACGACCTCAGGAACAAAGAAACACCATAAATACAATTAAAAAACAAAAAACTCCTTCTTCACAGAAACACACCACGTTATCACAACCCACTCGTATTCAACCCAAACGCAAAGCCAAAGAAACACTTACACAATAAACTCCATTGAATAAAATTACAGGAATTATTATAATGATTTTTTTTTGTTTTGTTTTGTCCTGATAGCGTTGGCTATTGTGCCCATCAATAGCTATGTTGGTAAGTATGAAATACATACTATCTCTAGATTTCCAATGTGAGTGTTTTTTTTTAGGGCCCTACATAACTTCACCAGACACAGACACAGACACTAATCGTTACTTGATTTTAATCCGTGCGATTAGTTAACCAGGCTAGACCTGGGTTCTCACAAGATACACCGACCATAATAATAATAACATTTAATAAATGTCCAACAGAAAAGCTTTCCAATTACAGGACAAACTTAAAACTAATAATTATGCGAGTAGTGTTACTTCATATAACTAAAATAGTAACTAACGTAATATACGAAAAAGAAAGCGACTTCTAATAAAAAATAACAATAGAAAATAAAAATTTAACTTACAAAAATGTCGGTTACATAAAAACTCGCTAAAAAGAAATCTTAATACCACCAAAAGGGTTTTTCACGTCTACATTTAACCTAAAATGTTGTTCTGTATTTCATAACGAAATTTGCAAAGTTCTATTTTGAGGAAGCTGCCTTGGTTGATCAAAATGGCTCAAACTATGGAAATGACCTGTTTGGTTCAAAATCATCTAACTAATCCTGCAATCAGATTTGATAAATAACAAGTCCAAAGAAATAATCACCAAACTTCTTATGTTTCTTCTGATACTTGTTGCTAATAGATAAAAAGCAATCACATTAACGTTAAAGGTATTTGCTCATGGTTACATGTCACCTAAACAGTTGTGTTGTATCTGATAATGAAATTTGCAAAAAGTTCTATTTTGAAGAAAATTGCCTTGGTTGGTCAAATTGGTTTAAAAAATGGAAATTACCTTTATGGTTCAAAATAATCTAAATCATCCTATAATCACATCTTGTAAACAACAACCCCAAAGAAATAATCACCAAACTTCTTTGTATTTTTCTTTAAGTACACAGATGGTACCTATACAATTATACATACATGGTGAAAACTAATCATAAGGCCTCTAAGGCTATTTGCTCATGGTTATGTGCAACCGAATAGGTTATTCTATATTCCGTAAAGAAATTTGCAAAAAGTTCATTTTTGAAGGATTCTGCCTTGGTTGGCCAAATTGGTTCAAACTATAGAAATGGCCTTTATGGTTTAAAATGATTTCATCCATCCTCCAATAACATTTTGTGAACAATATTTCGAAAGAAATCATCATCAAACTGCTTTGCATATGTTCCAGTACAAAAATGGTACCTACTTGGTGAAAAGAAATCATAAAAACTTTAAGGCTATTTGCTCATGGTTATGTGCATCCTAAAAGGTTATTCGATATTCCTTAAAGAAATTTGCAAAAAGTTCATTGTTGAAGGATTTTGCCTTGGTTGGCCAAATTGGTTCAACTATAAAGATGGTCTTTATGGTTTAAAATGATTGCATTCATCCTCCAATAACATCTTGTGAACAACAAGTCCAAAGCAATCATCATCAAACTGATGGATGGTACCTAGGATGGTACTCACTTGGTGAAAAGCAATTAGAAAAACTCTAAAGTTTTGTTGTATGCAACCGGATAGGTTAATAGATTTTTCATAATGAATTTTGCAAAAAGTTTTTCTGAAGAAGTTTTCCATGGTTGGTCAAATTGGATCAAACTGTTAAGATAGCCTTTTTGGTTGAATATTATCTAATTGGTATTAAAAGCAGGCTGCGCTCGAAAGGGGTAGTTACCAAACAATTGCATTTCTTGCTCTTTTTCCAGTACCTACCTACTAAGTATTTTATCCTCGATTTTATCTTCTTAATTAATAAATAATAGCAAGTCAGCCTATAAGTCAAATAGGAGTGACATAGGTCACATTGCTTCACATGCGTACGTACTGTGTAATTTCATTGTTGTTCGATAAACTAGGCAATTATACTGTACCACTCAGTTCTTACTATAGATATTTTCACAAAAATTATGTATTATGGTTAGCATGTCCGTCGGGGATAAATCTGATAAAGCATGCTTGAGAGATGTTTGACAAATGCGTACGAGTCGTAGTCGCGATCGCGACCAGTCTCTCGAAGAAAATGATAAAGTATACAATTTTGATAAGTTAACCGTGTGTCTAACTCTACAGCTAATGCCCGTTTGCACAGACAAATTTAAGCGGGGCTTAACTTAATCGTAGCTAAAAACCATGGCAACGATTATTGAGACAATGGTTGTCATGGATTTTAAGCTAAGTCCCGCTTAAATTTCTCGGTGCAAACGGTCATTAGAAAATTAACAATAGTGCCGACTTAATTTGAAACAAACTGTATAAAGGCGGCCTCACATTACATGGCAAACTAGACGAATGTTGGTGATGCGTCGAGTTTGCCATAAATGTGTATGAGTCGCACATTGCCAACGTTCGCGTTTGTCAACGTTCGCCCAGCAGTCGGTAAACGGACCCACTTCAAAGGACATTCGCCATGATACTGTATGAAGTGTAGGGAAGTTCGACATATAATGTGTATGACCCACTTGACAAGCTTTAATTTGGCAAGGAAACTTGTACACATCTGAAACGTTGGCGTTCGCCTAGTTTGCCATGTAATGTGGGGCCACCTTAACGCTCTTAAACCTTTTACACTTGACTTCGTTAAAGAATAAAAGTAGTAAAATTTGCACGGGAAGTTATGAACAGTAATCATGGAGTAGTCTGAAATACTTTCATTAGTTTGCATCAAAGAATAAACCAATAAACAGACACGCTTTGTGTTTCTAATTCAGATGATTTTTACAAACGTTACGTCCAGAGTAGCCGAAATGGTCGGTCGGCCACCGCCGCCGTCGGTCGGATACCTGTTTTTATGCGAAATGGGAGTTATGGACACTTTTTTTTATGCGTCTTTAATTTATGCGAAATGCCAGTTACGGATATTTATGCGAAATGGGAGTTATGCGTACTTTTTTTATGCATCTTTCATTTATGCGAAATGGGAGTTATGCACAGTTTTTTTTATGCATCTTTAATTTATGCGAAATGCCAGTTACTGAGATTTATGCGAAATGGGAGTTATGCGTACTTTTTTTATGCATCTTTCATTTATGCGAAATGGGAGTTATGCACAGTTTTTTTTATGCATCTTTAATTTATGCGAAATGCCAGTTACGGAGATTTATGCGAAATGGGAGTTATGCGTACTTTTTTTTATGCATCTTTCATTTATGCGAAATGGGAGTTATGCACAGTTTTTTTTATGCATCTTTAATTTATGCGAAATGCCAGTTACGAGAATCTTATTTATGCAAAATGGGAGTTATGCGTATTGCCAGTTATGCGTAGTTTTTTTTATGCGTCGTTTAAATTATGTCACATGCCTGTAAATGAAAATTCATTTATGCGAAATGGGAGTTATGCGTGTTTGTATTTATGCGAAATGCAACGTCACCTCAATACTTAGGATGCATGCCGTGTGCCGTTAGGATGCGCGCTGTCTGTTATGTTACACGGGGATATCGTATCGCGCAAAAGGAACATTGACCAAGTTGACATAGGTCTTTTCTGTGTAACAGTGCAACACAACAGACACCGCGCATCACAACCTCACACGGCATGATACTTTTCTAAGCATTGAATCCCGAATTTTTCCATTTTTTGTATATCAACCATATGCATATTTTTTGTAATCGTTTTGTAATCTCGAACACAGTGTAGCTTTAAAACTAGAATTGTTGTAACAATGTTGTTTTGAAGTCATTAAGTGTTCCAGACAAAATTTACAACCCGTATACTTAAAACACAGCAGTCACAAAAAAATTAGGGGAAGACAGGAGAGAAAAGGGGATGAATAACCCTCAACCACCTCAGCTAAGGTTACTGTTTTCGTTTTGCATTTATTCTCGAATTATTATTAACCCCGGACGTAAATTTCATTGTTGTACCATGCATTTTTCTGGAGATAATGCACGTAGGTGGTTGGTTTTTAGAACCCCATGTGCAGTCAGAAGTTTTTGTTTTGTATTTATTTTCGAACCCTCTGTGGAAGTTCCACCGTCATACCGTGCGTGGCTCCAGATAATGTACGGGGGTGGCTTTTTCAACCTCTTTAGGAGGCAGTGTATAATACCAACACTGCCTATAATTCCAGAAATTTGATTCTACCAATCCTGGCTCAGCTTGTTAGAAAATATAGCAATGCAATTCATCTTTGTAAGATAAAGCTCGTATTGGATCAGAATTTACAAAGGCGGTACCTATAAATATGAGTGTAAATAGTGGGAAAACAGCATTCGTTAAGCGACTGTACGAGGTCCCAAATCTGCGTTGGTCACATTTTCAAAAGTTAAACCGCCCAATTGGTGAATCCCGAGAAATTAAGCCAAGGGCGAGCCATCCCATTATCTCTATCGAGCCACCGTCGCCCTGCGGAAGAGCATTTTCGCGGTATTTCAAAGAAAGAAAACAACAAACAATATCCATGGCGTAACACAGCGGGGATTCTATAGCAGGTCCGTGCAGAGAGCAGCTCGAGGGCCAATTTCAATTCCACACCGAAGAAACGGCCTCAGCTGTTACCGGGTGGAGATGGTGGCGACAGCGTCCAAACAAGCGATATATTTAACTCTAGGAATTAATATGTACAAATCTATTCTGTATAGGACCGCGCGATGGCGGCGGCATCGTAGTGCTGCTGGGCGGTGGAGGCTTGAGGGCTCCGCGGGACGGAGGTTGGCTCGGCGTGGCATCTGGACGGCGCGGCAGAACGCCGTGGCGATGGGAACTGGATTGCCTCGGATGGGCAGTGGAGAAAGCAGAGTCGCGGCCACCAGCCTCAGTGGCCGCTTTAAATGTAAGGTAGAGTTTCCCAGCTCTACTGAGCTTCCTTTCCTGGATGTTTCGACGCTGCTTATATTTTCGGTGGATGGCTCGCCGTGGGCCGAGCCGCGTTCACCAATAGCAGGCTCGTCCGTAACAGCTCCCCCTCTTCCGAAAAACCTCCAGCAGGAACTGGTGGGGCTGGTGGAGATGATGCGGGTCGCAACTCGTGAGTGTGGACCTTACTGCGCTCGTCGTTGTCCCTCCGGATCTAGTAGGCGTTGTTTCCAGCCAGCGTTTCTATGGTGTCCATTTAGGGTAGCGGCTTTGCGGTTCCGATTCCTGTCCATTACCCGCACCCCAACTTGGTACTGGCTAACCGCTGGATTGTAGTTGGCGTAACGCCTTTTGTAGTCTTCGCCCTGGGTTCTCTGTCGCCATTTTCCCGGTCTGGTCAAATTGTAGCCCAAGAAGGCCTTGCTTGAGTTAATGGCCGTGGTCGCGTTCTCTCTGGTCCGGAGGTTGAAGTGGACGAGAGGTATTACGCGCGCCCACGCGTTGGGTTTTCCGGTGAGGTGCGCGCGCAGCCTCTTTTTCACCTCTTGGTTCTTTCGTTCAACTGGGTTGGTTTGGGGGTGCCCGGGAGCCTGTCGGCATGTTGAGCGCCTACGGAGGACTTCCACGTGTTCTAGGAGTGACCGGTCTGCCATGATGTGGCCCAGATACGCCATGGATGTCACCCCAAAACGGTACTTGTCTTGTGCACAGGTGTGTTGTTGGGGCCGCTCAATCACTATCCGCACAGGGTCGAGTTCCTCCCACGAGTTCGCATACACCACGATGTCATCGAGGAATACCCAGGCGAATTTCCTAGAGATCCCCGGCAGTACCTCCTGCGTCATTACCATCTGAAAGGTGGACGGGGCGTTCTTTAGTCCAAACGGCGTCACTCAAAACTGTAGCAGGCGTCGTCGGGAATCAAAAATGCGGTGAGCGCGAGGAGGAGGACCTGCTAGTATCCACAGTTGAGGTCCAGCGTGGAGAACGCCTTCGCTGTCCCCAACTCTAAATGTCTCGTGGATAAGTGGTAGGATGTAGGTTTCACATTTGGGTGCAGCCATTCAACCTGCGGTAGTCCACGCAGAAACAAGCGTTGCCGTCCTTCTTTTGGATAATGATGATTGGGGAGGAGTAGCTGGAGGTGCTCGGTTCAATAATCGGTCAGTCAGCATTGTTTCTATCTCCTGGACAATGATCGCCTTCTTGGCCGGTTCGATCTTCTGGGTGACGTTGTGGTCTCGGCGGAGCGGACCCAGTGTTGGTGGTGGTGGTGTGACGGGTTCTTTGCCCCGGTGGACACATCGGCTACCGTGATCTAAGCCTGCCCCGTTGCGAAGTAAACAGTCCTGGCCCAGGATAATGGGGTTTGCGAGGTCGTTGGCTACCAGGAAGGTTTCCTGTTGCTTTGTTCCCTCTATTGCGAACTGAAGTTCGGTGTTCCCAAGGAGGTAGACGGTCTTGCCGGCTGCGACTAGGTGTACCGTCGTGAGTTTGGTACCCTTGTTCTTGCTGTTGGCCAGCCGACGGTCGATGAAGTTGTGAAAAGCTCCAGTGTCCAGCAGGGCAAGGCGGTGGCGACCCTCAAGTACTATGACAATATTCGGCAGCCCGAGTTGTGGTCGTTCGTGTATTTGGTGGAGGACAGTCAGGGTGAGGTTGGCAGCCCGGCGTTTGCAGGCTCTTCCGTAACACAGCTGGCATTCTATACCCGGTCCGTGCAAAGCACAGCTGAAGAGCATTTGATTCTGATTGAAAGCCGTGACAAAAGAGTCTTCTTTGCGCAGGTATATATATGCACATCCATTCGATTGTAATGCGATGCTATATCAAAGCGCTTTCCAAAGACAACAGCTGGACCTAGACGCAGCCAATTCTTCTGTCATAGCAAGAAAGAATTGTCACTAAATATTGATCTTCGGCGAGATTTTACCTGGCACTTTCACTATTGCTGACGTCCAATTGGCAATCCTTGGAGCCGATATTCTGCAGAATTTTGGCCCGGTCATTGACATAAACATGAATTTTCGACCCCTGCTTAACTCAAACCATCCGAAGTCCATCGTGACAATTGCTTTCGATGTCACTGTACCTGACGGTGATCTTGTCCACTCGGCGGCATATCCCTAAAAATGGCAGCTCTACCCGACTTTCCAGTACAACACGCCATTTTCACGGGCACACAGTCTTTAACCGCGCTCGTCGCCTGACTTGAGAACACCTAGCAGCTGTGAAAATGAATTTGACGTGCTGCTGAATAGTGGGCCAGTCTTTCACATATGGTATCTAAGAAAGGGGGTGGTTGGAAGCGAGTGGAAATTATAGACGTCTCAATGCCACCATTGTCCCTAATCGCTATCCTCTACCTATTATAGAAGATCTCCAAGAAGGCAAGGTATCCGTATTTTCAATCGTGGATTTCCAACGTGCTTTTTACCAAAACCATGCAGCTGAAGAGATGCGTCTGAGAGCTGGCATTTTCTGTGTATGATGAATCATTACCGTCGCTGCACTTCTCATGCAGCCCACCTGCAGGTTCCATTAACCGAGCCCCTAGAAGGAGCTCCTAAAAAGCAAGGTAAATTACAGTGTTCTAAAACAGAAGAGAAAGCAAATGCTGTTTGGCACCTCAACTAGAATACCGGGAGTATTCGGTCGCACTCGAGAAAGGTAGAAATTAGTGAGTTAATTTGTAGAGCCGCCCTTTAAGGAAAATAAGAGGCTGTTTTATAATTTGCCGTTTGCAACCGTTCCCGTAGGAACCAGGGAAGAAGAGCCAGAATCAATCTTGTTAAGTGTTAGGTCTGTTAAGTAACCATTAATCGGCATCGGCATTAATCCAGCAAGGTCGTGCAGTTTTCAACGTGATAACACATTTCGCCGCTTGATACCCACACTCCAAGGAACAAAAGGGCATTGCCTAATTTGGAGATTTCATTACGACTTTTTGGATAAGTATAATTAACCGTAACTAGTTGACTGGGTTACAAATATAATAGCTTCCGATTAAGGAGAAACTACATCCGTTAGAGGCGCCCTTAAAAAACTTGAATGTTGACATCAGTCCCGTATTTTGAAGACGCCTGGGAAGAACGTAATTAAAGAAGTTTTAAGTTTCCAGCGTTACCGCAAGGACACGTTGTGTCGGCTGGAAAAACCGTCGATCCTTCCATGGCATAGCTAAATTTTCTAACAGGTAAAGCAGTTGTTTAGAGGGGATCTTTTTTTCTTTGGGGGTTGTAACCGAAAAGTAAGATCTTTCCGTCCTTTGCACTTTCGCAAGGTAGTACGTTTTGTAAGTACCGCAATTTTGAGCTTTTCCGTAAATTTATTTTGCATTCATATCGTTTACTTTTTGTTTTCATATTAAGTTTACTGCACCGTATCTATAACTTTTACCTTTTCTTGCACAGTAATTTAGTATAAAATATGAAGTTCTATGATCGACATTTTGCTAAAGTTCATTTGTTTTTAGTCGTCAATTATAAACAGGATATGTGGAAAACAGAGAAAAACACTTACCCGATACCCGCTTGCTGTTCTTTTTCCACTGTATAACGGGGGTTGGATCTCCTCGGGCCGCACAATAAAAAGCGGCGATTCCTCCGGCCTTAACTTGTTGGTTTCTTGGTTTCATCGTGATTTCGGGAGGATCTGAAACATAAAGGGGTGGATTAAAATTACGGCACTCGAACAATTCGCGCGAGGTGGAAATTTTCGCAGGCTGAAGGATTTATGTTACGGATCGAATTTACGGTGTAGTTTTGCAAAACTCGTATCTTGCAAACGAGGGTAGGAAAAAATTGAGATATATTATTCGAAATCAAAACAGGCGGCATAAATAACGAAACAATACACCTGCATATCAACGTACTGAAATTTTTCCGATAAATTTTGACTCGTACAGATTACGCCCCAAATGTCAATTTTGATTTGATTTATAAAATAAATTTACATAAAAATAAAACAGTCGTTCGTTTTATCTCACCGGGGTTGGAAGGGTGAAGTCCGTGTGTGCGCAGCGACATCAAACAGTTTCATAATTGCTTGTACAAACTAAAATAATTTCGATTTCGCTAGCGCGATCGATATTTAATAAAAAGAAGCCTTTTCGTAATTAGTTTCGACATCAAAGCGCATTTCAATAGAGTTTCATCAATAAAGATGACGCCGTAATTAGCCACAAAAAATAAACACGCAATTTTAGTACAACACCAAAAATAATGGTATAAAAGAACATCAAAAGCACGAAACGCCCATAAATTAAAGTCGTATTAAAATTCATGTAAAATCAAAATTTAAAAAAACCCCCGGGCACACGCTTCGTCTAATCATCTAACAATGAAGCATTATTAATCAGTATATGACAGAATGGATATTACAATTTGTAAATGATCCACTTGCGTGATACATGCGATTGTACCGCTACCTATCGAAGCCCTTGATAAGATGAATTCAAATGAGCAAGTGCCCACATAATTTCGTTTAACAGCCGTAAGACTAATTATTCGTATACGCGAAAATTGGAAATTAAATTATTCATCGCGTTTTATTACAAAACCGAATCAAAAAGTAATATAAATATGAATAAATAACCCGTAATAACAATGCACCTATTATTACGCACGATATTGAATAAATGATTTTCATTGGACGTACGTAATTGCAACCCTTTAAATCCGCTTTATACCCCTTTATATGGGCAGAGGCCTGACCACAATATTAAGTTAATATGCAGCATACCTTAATAAATTATAAGGAGATTCTAGTACTAGTTTAATGTGCGTAATCACTGCCACTAAACTACATATTCGACAAAGAATTTGGTCCACGTGTTGATCCGTGAGGCACTCCGTGTTCGTGATCCGCCATGAAAATAAAACGGAGTTTTAATTGAGAATAAAATTTTAATTTGTTAATTCCCCTAAATGCCACTTACTTTCGAATTGTAATTAAACAATAAAACCTTTTCAGCGTGTGCAAGTA